GGGATGACCATTTGACCGACATCATTGAAATAAAAGCGTTTCTAGGCGTATTACACATTTGTGCTTCTAGAAAGGACAATCATGCAAATACCAAGGATATATGGTCCTCTGATAAAATGGGTGTTGAGTTATGCCATCTAATAATGTCTGAAAAATGATTTAGGTTCCTTTCATATTGATTGAGGTTTGACAATAGCAATTTTTTTGCTTCAAAATAATCTTACTTTGGTTGGGACTATGAGAAAGAATAAGAGTGAAATTTATCCAGAGTTTACACATGCAAAGAATCGGGAAGTAGTAACATCATTGTTTGGGTTTCAGAATGACTCTTAATGTCTTATGTAACTAAGGGAAACAAGTTGGTTCTGATTCTCTCCACTATGCATCATGATGATGTATTGATGAATCATGTGAAAACAAGCCACAGACGATAACCTTTTATAACGTAACTAAATCAGGAGTTGATACTGTTGACCAGTTGTGTAGCACTTACAATGTCGCTAGGAAAACGAACAGATGGCCCTATGGTCATATTTTATAGTATGATGAATGTAGCAGTTATAAATGCTCAATAAATATCGTGCTCAAATAACTTTCAAGCACCAGACGCAGTGAGTTTTTAAAACTTTTAGGTCGTAATCTAGCTGATGATTCCTTGCGTAGACGTTCTCAGTGTTCATCATTAACCTAGAAATCCTCAAGCAGGATATTCAGAGCCTTTTCCCAGATGAGGGTACAGTTCAGCTTACAGATGGAGGCTCGAGCTACTAAAAGGCAGAGATGTTATGAATGTGGCCATTCCAAGAACAGGTACACTAAGTACAAATGCTGCAGTTGTAAAAAATTTCTATGTTTAGAACACGCTCAGCAAATTGCGTGATGCAGTTTTGCACTAACCTAAATGATATAATTTCACTTGTATTTTTCAGTTGCATTTGCAGTAAGTTGAATAAAATTAAGTCTTCACTGTAAACTGAAGTTTTGTTATTTGCATTGTAATATGATACACAAATATTATGTGTGTTATTTCAATAATGCCTTTGCATTCATAAATTTGAGTTGAATAAAAATATATGTTAGTACTGCGAAAATATACCTGGCGTCCTTTAACGTAACAATACGGCACGCGAGCACTGCAGGGTTAATACTATCACTGGAAGAAAGATTTTCCAGCAATTATTTTACTGGCATTTTCTTTGTTGTTATTACATCCTGTGGCTATGCTAAAGATGCCAGTGGAAGAATTTACCAAAAAAGCATAGTGCTTTCGTGATTTTTATAATTTGAAAAATTTTTGATGGTAAGGGAGAACTCTGGTGTAATTTCTGGAAAACGGAAAAACTGGAGATCGACAAAACGTTGTAATAAAAAAAAGACCAAATAAAAAATGTTCAGAAGTGTTTTTATTTCTATCTCCCATATTTCAACAATCTGTTTAAATTCACGCATTCCAGTTCCATTATTTATTTGCTCGTTTAATTGACTGGCAAAGCATATGAGTGCTAGAATTTTCTGAAGTAAACTGGCTCGTATTCAATTTATAATACCTGAGGGGGGAAAAAAACCTACAAAAACACTCATGCAGCTAACCAATTAATTCACTTTCAAATTGAATTACTTGTATTCAGCAATTTTATCTATTCTACCACTGACGAATTCATGGTCATATTATAGTTTCGTTTTCACGATCTAAGATCATTTGCACCCCCTAGCTCCGATGAAATGAAAAGATTTGATTGCATCTGCGCTGCGCCCATGAGTATGAAGATATGTAATTGAACATATTAGCAGAACTATATTAGGGTAAAATACTGAATATTTTTTTGAACATAGTGGAATATGGAATGAAACAATATTGTTTATACAAATTTATAAAGGGAAGGAAGATAGAGAATGATCATGCAGCTTAAGAAGTATTTACCTTTAATTATTAAATATGGATGAAACTAAGCTTCACTTTAAAGCATTGCTGAATTGCATAATGATCATCAAAATAATTTATTTTTTGTTAAAAAACAGTAAAAGGAATGTATGCCTATTACAGTTTTATTGATAATAAATATGACAGAACATGAAGAAATTGTTATACAGTACAAAGTCTTTAATCTGGACTCGTCGAGACTTTGACGATTCCGGATTATAGATCATCAATTTAAATCTGGTAAGATGGCATGCAGAAATTATAAAATTAAAAATATGAAACCGGAGATTATGAAATAAAGAGCAATTGTGATCTAAAGGGTATCAAAATTTACAAAAAAAAAAAAAAAAAAAAAGGCTTAATATTTATTTGTTTACTTTATTAAACATTTCTTTCAATGTAAGTTGTTTAAGTTGCTTTGTTTTATGTGCTAATACTTTCTCTTTAATCTATAAACAGACATAATTTCTTGTTCATTTACAAAGTTCCGCTGTTAGGTCCTGAAATTGCTGTGCCGAGAATACCGACTAACTTGTCAATCAAAATTTTTTTTGTTTTCACTAATCTCTCTGTCACTTTCTTCATGCCTTTATTCGTTTTTTGCAGCAATTCCACGTTTTGTTTGATGGACATCGAAACATGCTTTCGCTTTGTAGATCCTTTGGCAGCTCCAGAATCGGAAACTCTTTTTGACATAATCAAAAGTTCAAGCTTACTTTTTATAAAATTGCTCTAACAGTCTGCAAAAAATAATAAGCCGGATCCAATTAGAAGATTAAGGAACAGCGCAATCTGCAACATTAACTGAAATAGATAATTTTAGCGTAGCTTATACCATTTGTCATACATTAAACGCACATGCATAAATGCATATGGGCATGCGTAACAGAAAGTTTGTAGCTTTGAGATCCGGATTATAGATCATTCCGGATTATGGACGTCCAGATTAAAGACTTTGTACTGTAAGGCAGAGATTAATTTAGAAAATTTTTTCTCATGCATTGCTTCCGAAATTCATTATATAAAGTTATTGGCTAATCTTTGGAATATGGTAACAGGTAGTTTGGTGACATTTTGGCAAGGCGATAAAGGTTACTAGCTAGGACTTTAGCAGTGTACATGGATAAAGTCAAGAGTGTGCGCAATGCCATTTTTGTGCAATTCTGGGATGTTTTTTTAAGTGAAAATAGGGCAAAGTGTACATGGATACCGTGTATGTGCTATTCTTAAAAATGCGGCAAGCAGTGGGCGATTCTGCACTTTCTCCCAATTTTGCACCCTAATCTTCGTCATGATTAAGCACTTTTGTTCCATAAAAGTTCTAGCATAAGTGTAATTTGGCTAGCAGATTGTTGAAAAAAAAATGTTGCGGGGGAAAAAAAAAAAAAAAAAAACGTGCCTTTACTTCGTTAAAACAAAATGGCATCCAAAAAAAAAAAAAAAAAAAAACTAGCAGGTTGCTGTAGCAGGGTTGGTCGCCAAAAAATCGCCAAGTTACCATAATCTGAAGATTGACCAAGTTATTCAAAAAATTCATTTGTATTAAATAGTTCAATCTATTTCTAATAGTCTGATTGATGAATGATTTTAAATTTATCTTTCAATATCAGTAAAAGTGATCAAATACTGAAATCTAGTGTAGTTTTGCTGTTTTTGTTATGAAGTTTATTACTGTGTTATTTAAAAGTAGTTATGTTATATAATAATGTCAAAATGTAATATGTCATAATAATGCTAGCAATTATATACAGGGTGTCCCATAAATGTTGTGACAGACTTCTGGGGGAGGTAGGGCACATCATAAGGATTAAAGAGTGGAATCATAAGGAGCGAACGTAAAGCTTGCAGACATGCACTTAGTGTATGGAATAGCTGAGGGTAATGGGCAAGCCGCTGCACGCGTTTATCGAGAATGCTTCTGTCTTATCTGATCTTTTTGGAGCAGGTTCTTCCCCCTTGCTTGATGATGTTTCACCAAATGTGAGGCGCAACATGTGGTTTCAAGATGATGGGAAGCCTGCTCATTTTCGACTGGATGTTCATAGCCATTTGAACAGATCATTCCCGCATCAATGGATTGGACGTGGTGGATCAGTTCCCTGGTTCCCACGCTCGCCGGATTTATCGAGCCTTTATTTCTTTTTGTGGGGAGCTATCAAAAGTGTCATGTATCACCATCCTGTTGTGTCTGAAATGAATCTCGTGGCAAGACTTGTCTGTGTAGCTGCTGCAATCAAAGAAACTCCTGGCATGTTTGAACATGTCCAGCAATCAATGGTGAGTTGGTTTTAGGCATGTTTGGCATCTGTTGGTGCAAACTTTGAGCATCTGTTGTAACATTCAAGCTGTCATGTACCATTTGTATTCATGTTGAATAAATGTTTCAAATTAATCACTCTCTTGTTTCCTTTCCCATCTTCTACGTCTGCTGCCACTTATCCCTGACATTTCCGGGCATGGGTTCCTATGCAATTCTTAATTCTTATGATGTGTCCTACCTTCTCCAGAAGTTTGTCGCAACATTTAGGGGACACCCTGTATAGTAACTGTAATGTTAGTTTCATTATAATACAGTCAATGCTTTGATGCTCCAGCATCGGAAATTCTATTTGACATAATCGAAAGTTCAAGCTTACTTTTATAAAATTGCTCTAACAGTCTGCAAAAAATAATAAGGATTTTGAAGATTAAGGAATAACGCAATCTGAAACATTAACTGAAATAGATAATTTTAGCTTAGCTTATACCGTCCGTTATACATTAAACGTGCATGCGCAAACGTATTATGCGTATGCGTAAAAGTATTACGTGCATGCGTGAACACATTATGCATTGATGCATGCGCAGAAAGTTTGTAGCTTTGAGGTCGGGGTTATAGATCATTCCGGATTATGAGTGTCCGGATTAACGACTTTTGACTGTATACATTTTGATTATCAGGATCATCTGTTTATGCAGATCAAAATTATGATCTTTTTAAGTGTTGTGTGGTGTCTGTTATGTACTTGCATTAAATTATTTATTTCCTTTTTAAATTGTACTGTGCAAAATCAATGTGATGTTCTCCCTCCTCTTTCAGGTAGAAGCTGTGCCATGTCCCGAATATGAGTCAAGTAAATAATCACTTAAATTTTCATTTTATAGCTTTTAATGAATTGAATTTTAGATTTGATTTAAAAATTGTAACACAGCATGCATTTTTAATAATTTCATTTCTTATGGAAATAATCTCAAGATATCTTCCTAGCATTTTCAGAGCCATAATCTCTACTTGTGCATGTTTACGTAATTATTTTATTATCTCTCTTTTAGAATATGTGTGTAAAGTCCAGAAATTTAAAAAATTAAAACATATGGAAAGCATCTTTTGTTTCTTTTTTTTAAACAAAAATAGTATCTACTAGTGCATATTCATGAAATTAAATCCTTGTTGAATAAACTTAAAGCTCAACTTTGAAATAATTTTTAAAAAAATGTGTTATTTGTCTTTGCATTCTTTTTTTTTTTTTTTTTTTTTCTTTCTTTGTAATGGATTGTAATATAAATGGGAAAATATCAGATTATAAACATTTAATTTCTATTTTAATAAAACGGGGAAATATAGACTGTAATCTCCATGTTATGAAATTAAATATCACTATTTTATTATATTTTGAATGAAGAAAAGAGAGTTTGAAATTTTACTACCTGCATACATCATATAATATATTTTTTTTTTAAAAAAAGGCCATACTTAGGGTGTTAAATAATAGTTATTATAAAAAGCTGATAAAAACTATATATAAGACAGTGATTTTATCGATTTGGTTTGTTATGCTTATCAGCAGTACGATTGTTACAAAATGCTGTTAAAAACTATGGCATTATCCCAACTAGCGATCTACTGAATTTCATTAATTAGTTAACCAGTTTTATAGTAGATGGTGCCATCTCTTTTTCAGATTATTTTGTTTGTAAAAGAAATTTTTATCCTTATCGTTTGATTTACATGCAATTTTTCCATTAAATTCACGAAGAGTTTTTAAAATGCTGTCTTTAAATCTTTGCTATCAATTTACTCTTAAATAAATTTCACGTTTACATTACGAAGAGAAATAAGATTACAAGAAAATAAATATAAAATAAAGAAATAAGAGTAAAGAAGCAAAACAAGTGGCAACAGTGTTTATCTCTCTTAAATTCATTCTCTCTCTTTTTTGTAAATACTCTACTTACAACAAATTGGTTGTAAATAGGTTTTGAAGCAACTAAATGTAGCAGTCCAAAATCGGGTGTATTTTGTCTTATCTCTTATCTGCTTTATTCACACAAAATTCTTCATATAATCTATATCCATAACATATAGGGGCTCACTTTTAGTTATATTAATATTAATTCATTGAAATATTTAAACTAGCTAATCTAATTTAAAAAAAAACTATTTCACCTTTTTATTTACACACCGACATTTTCTTATTTCTTCACAGCAAAAGAAATAAGCATTTTTCAAAATTAAAAAAACTATTACTATTAGATAATAATAAATCTGACATGCAAATTTGAATAAAATGACAAAAGAAAATGTCTGAAAACAGTTTTAGTGGTGCCCACCTTAAGTAACTACATAATTAAGTAAGGTAGATCGCATATTGGGTGAATGCCCTGAATATCAGATTAGTGATGAGAAATTTCATTTGATTTGTGAACTTGTAATTTTTTTTTTTAAGATCATCAAAGTGATTTTGAGTTTAGGTTTACTCATAGCAGATTTGTATATCTTCTTTGTATTTGTAAAAATTTTGAAACCTTAAACATATGAAGAAATTTAAGGTAATTAGATTTAGGACTTAAAATTATATTTATAACAGGTTATGTCCAAAAGTAATTTAAAATAATTTTGGGTCTTTATTTTTTCTTCTCATCTTTGCATCAGTTTTCCATTAATTTTCAAATGTTAAAGTTATTAAATGTAGCATATACTGTCTGAATAATAGGTAGTATAAATACTCTATGTTTATAAATTTATTTTTTCCAGATATAAAACATTTAAGAAAGAAGAGAGACTTCAAAGAATCTTGTACCAGTCCAAATTTTACCGTATTGTACATTCCAGATTCTACTAAGTATGTTATATTTGTTTCTCTTGGAATTATTAATTTAATCTTGTACATTTTGAATTATAATAAAGAAATATTTTCTGCTGGCCATTTATGCTGAAAAGTGTAATGCAGAATACACACTTTAATTTCAGTTAATTTGAAGAGTAATCTGTTTGTTGAGTTTTGCATATATTCTGTAAAAATAATTAAATTATGTATTTTATCTAGAGTGAAAACTATATTAAGTATTGAATGTCATTCAAATCTATTAATGAGTAAATTATAATTATTTTTAGTAGACATTATTTAAACTTTTTTCAAAATAGATTTCATTACAGAATACAAGTTAGAATCTATGTTGATCATATATAGTAGAACTGATTTCAAGCATTGTGTTAAATCCAATCAGAAATTCTGAATTACTGGATTAAATATTTCACTGTTTAAAATTATTTTTATTACTGAAAAAGTTCCGATTTTAGAGTTTGGCATTGGCACATCTACTTTATTATTTACAGCACTTTCCCAAATAATTTATCATTCAAAGAATTACCTCTGGTTTTACACACTTCTCTGCTGACATGATAAAATGAGCTGTATAATTTGCATTCAGATGTTTTGCTTCTGAATAATGGCAATTAATAATGCAGAGTGTGTATATTTATATACACTCATGTCCATAATAAGATTCAAACGCAAGAATTGAAAAAAAATTTGAAACAGAAACGAAAACAAAAAAATTGTGGGGAAGGCACGACCATAGTTGATAACACACATTTATTACTATTTACAAATATAGATTACATTAGGATTACAATTAATGAAAATGGTATACGAGCGATCGAGCGACGTCTGCTCCGCTCGCCAGCTAATCCTCGTCTTCTCCCGAAGGCGGGAAACACATGCTGACGCAATGCATACGTCACACAGTAGGGGATTAGGGAATATCATGACATAACATTTCCCACATTCGGCCATCATGACCGGACAGGCGACCTCGCCTGAAGCAACATAGTATATCATCAAATTAAAAAAAAAATTATTATAATATAGTAACATAGGTATGGAAAAAATAATCTGTAGATACAAAGCTGAGTATACTTACACAAATGAAGCAAAAAAAAAAAAGATTAAACACACCACAGCAGTTAACTAAAAATAAAAAGAACATTAGTATGACAAAATGAATTAAAAAGTTGATATGAGGAAAAAATTATTAGAAAGTTCTCAGGTGTCATCTGTCCAAACACAGGAGGACCTATAATGCTGACAGTTGAATAAAAATCAAGTGATACGTTCAATATTGTTGGACCAGGGTTTCATGTATTCAGCACAAGTAGATGTTTTGGATGGTCCGTCGAAAAATGCACACTTTTCCACATCATATGTGTCATTTTGTTTGAGCCTGGTGACTTTATAAGGTCCGAGAAATTTCTGTTTGAGTTTTAGACCAGGGCCAAACTGAGTTCGTTTGATAGCCACGAGGTCATGAAGTTGAAATTTTTGTGCCTGTTTTCGTCGCAAATTATAAGTACGGCGATTTTCGTCTTGCACTTTAGAGATTTGCTGTTTTGCGTCCTTACGGAGATCGTCACGTTGCTGAATGAATGCAGATTTGATCTCCTCGTCGATTAGAGCAGCGATGTTTATGTCGTTTTGCGATTTCATTTTAGTCCCAAAGAGAAGTTCAAAGGGAGTAGGAATTGATGCTACGTTGAAAAGTTGAATTAATAATTTGTTGCACGGCGGGAACATGGCGGTACCATTGCTCAGGGTTGGTTATGGAGAGTTTAGAAAGGACAGCAATAATAATGGAGTTCAAACGCTCAACTTGACCGTTCGATCGTGGGAGGCCAGCTGTAATAAGAACGTGCTTTATTCTCTGTGTGTCACAATAGTTTGCAAATGCAGTGGATTTGAATGCAGGGCCTCGATCAGAGATAATCCGTGAAGGATTTCCGAAGACTGATCTTTGAGATTCCAGCCGACTGATAACTTCATCTGCGTCTGTAGACTTTGTCGGATAAAGCCACACGAATTTAGTAAACGAGTCTATAACTGCCAAAATATGTTTATTATGTCTATAACTGCCAAATTTTATGTCTATAACTGCCAAATTTGTTTGATTATTTTTTTTGTGAAGAAATTGACATTTACTAAAATTAACTTCTAGACCATATTCACTAGCAACTTTGAGTACTTGGTTCAGACGATGAATGGCCTCATTTTCATTTTTGGCGGGAATAACTACATCGTCCATGTAGGGTAAAACATAACCTTTGACAATTAAATCACGAAAAACATAATTTATAAAGCGCTGGAATACTGAAGGGCAATTTGAAAGACCAAATGGCATTCGAAGAAACTGGAATTGTCCATTGTGAGTTACAAAAGCTGTATATGGTTTACTTTCGTCCGCTACTGGCACATGAAAAAAGCCGTTACGTAGGTCAAGAGTACTAAAAATTTGCGCGTCTTGAAGTTTATCCAAAATGTCATCAATAAGAGGAAGAGGAAAATGATCCTTAATTAAAAGTCGATTAAGTTTCCTATAATCGATGCAAACACGGGGTGTACCGTCTTTTTTACGCACCACGAGAACTTGACTGGCATATGGAGATGAACAAGGTTCAATAATTTTAAGTTTCAACCATTCATTTATTTGTTTGTCAACAATTTCCCGTTCAACAAAAGGAAGGCGTCTAGGAGGGTGAAAAATCGGTTTATCATCGGATAGAGTGATATTAAGTTTAATATCTGTCGTCTTTGTTTTATTTGGGACATAAGAATTCAGCAAACGTTCTGCCGCAGCACGAGTTTCTTTGGAAACATTTGAACCAATATCAAAAGCTGGAACATCGTCATTTATTGCAAAAATGAAAGATTCAGGAGCAGTTTCAAAGCATTGCTCGGGAGGTTTTGAAAAATATATACCGTCTGGTGTAATAGTTAATTTAGCATTTTTAATTACGTCACAGCCTACAATAAGAGAAAATTGCATAGAATGATTTGGAACAACTCTAATATTAGCCGGAAAGTCCTGATTATCAATGTTGATAATGGTTTGAAAATAGCCAATAATAGGAATTTTCGAGAATCCGAAACCAGTTAACACTCCAGAATTATTTGAAAGTGGTGGGGAACCAAGTTGAATCCATGTGTTTTCGTTCAGTAATGTGACCTCACTTCCAGTGTCAATTAATCCAGAAACTGTGCTATTGAGTATAACGACAGTTTTACACATATTACCGTGAGAGGTTTGTACTGTATTTACTTCGGCAGGTGGAGTGGAAGTCTCATTTGATGTAGTGGGGCGGCAATCCATAGATTTATGTCCAAAATGACCGCAAGTTAGACACTTTGGGCCAAGAGAACGATTAGGACAGGACCGTGAGAGGTGTCCGACCTCATCGCAGTTAAAACAAGTTTGTGGTTTAGTTTTAGATGGACCAGTATTATTAAATTTCGTGTCGTGTTGTTGGTCTGAATTTTTTCGTCCAGTACTACGTCTGGGGCCATTATTCGTATTTTTTTTAATTTGATGGATGAGAGATATTTGTATGTCTAGTCGTAACTACAGATTCATAAGTGAGTAGCTTTTCCTTGAATTCAGAATATGATTTTGCACCGTAGAGAATAATTTTATCGGATGGGGTACCTGGTATTCCTTGAATGGTATACTGAATGACAGAAGCCTCGTCGATAACACCGTCACCACGATTCGCAATTTCGCGCATGGCGATAAAATATTGCAAAGAGCTTTCATTCGAGCGCATTTTTCTTCTTTCGAGTTGTTTATGAATTTCAATAGACGTAATTTTATCGGAGAACTCATTAAGTAATACTGTTTTAAACATGTCGTATGAATTGAGATTCCGTTGTGAAAACAAAAAAGTTTTAGCAGTACCCACAACAAGTCGTTTCGCAAAAACTAATTTTTGCTGGTCGGTAAGATTTGGGAATAATTGGAAATTATCCTCTATATCGTTGAAAAAAGCACGGACTGAATAGGAATCATTGCCTGAAAAGTTTCTGCAAGTGTTTGAAAGATCTCTCAAAATAAACCATAAATCATGACTCATCTCGCGAATCTCGGTGTTCGCCGTCATATAAACACCGGAGCTACTCGAATTCAAATTTATTACTTCCGCGTCAGAAGAAACAACGCGATTTGGGCTTGGCGCCGTGGAGGGAGGGGAAGGGGGAACAGAAGAACTTAGACCTACAGGCGTCGGTGCACTGTCGGTGTTTGAAATTGAATGATCGTCATCGGATAAAAAACTAACATCTAGGGAATTGTGAAAATCCGTCAGATTAGTGAGCGCATGAAAAATTTTTTCACATAAAACATCTTTATTAGTGGAAGCTTCCAAATGCAATAAATTCGCCACTGATATAAAATCTGATAAAGAAAAATCTTTTAATAGAAGTTCTTTATGTTTTGCCAAATCGAAACTGTCCGGGAACGCGGCAAAATTTCGCATTCTCTTTCGCGAAGAATGATCAAAATCGGAATATCCGAGCACGGTATTAAATAATTTAATAACTCGTGTTGTGCCATATTTAAGAGAATTCGCTATCAATGGGATATCACCTAATTTTAGGGCCATAGTTCTTTAAACAGTAAAATAGGACAATATGAATATGAAATAGGGTATGTATGAATGAGAATTAAACAGTATAAACACAGCTTAAAATCGTAATACTAATAAATTATGAACGAATCAGGGAAAAATGGGCCTACCTAACTTCGGGGCAGTCCTTATAATCCAATATATATCTTGGCCAATCCAATGTAATCCAAAATCGAATTTCGATTTAACGTCCAAAATCAGAAGAATGGACAAGTAGCATGTAACATCATTCACATATGTCGTCCAGCTTGAAGAATATTAAATCGTCATAAAGGCACGTCTTCATTCACATACGTCGTCTGGCTTGAAGAAGAATATTAAATCGTCATAAAGGCACGTCTTGCCTTTGTTAGCTTTCTGAACGTCTTTAGTGATTGCTGGTGTCTAGGG